GGCATAGCAGAAATAAAATCAATGATTTAAATGTGTGGCTTAAGGACTGGTGTGGGAATGATACATTTTAGTTCATGGAGCGCTGGAACCAGGGATCTGTTTCAGTTGGACGGGCTTCACTTGAACTGTGCTGGGATCAGTGTACTGGCAAAATGAGTACTTCTGGCTGTAGAGAAGGCTTCAAAAAGATTGACAGGGAAATCTATATAGTAACATGCAAAAGGATATTGTGTCATTGTAGGTTGACTATTTTGATAATGATATCCAGATTGGGAAAGAAAGGGTCATACAGCATGGAAGCCATCCCTTTGGTCCAACTCATCCATGCCAACCAGATATCCTAAATTAATCCAGTCCCATTTGCCAGCATTTGTCCCATATCCCTCTAAACCCTTCCTATTCATGTACTCATACAGATGCCTTTTAAATATTGTAATTGTACTCACCTCCACTACTTCCTCTGGCAGCTGATTCCATATATGCATCACCCTCTGTGTGAAAAAATTGTCCTGTAGGTCCCTATTAAATCCTTCCCCTCTCATCTTAAAACTATGCCCTCTAGTTTTGGACTCTTCTACCCTGGGAAAAAAAAGTCCTATTCACCTTATTCATGTCCATCATGATTTTATAAATCTCTATTTATAAATCACCCCTTAGCCTCTGACACTCCAGAGAAAATATCCCCAGCCTATTCAGCCTCTCCCTATAGCTCAAAGCCTTCAACCCTGGCAATGTCCTTGTAAATCTTTTCTGAACCCAGGTTTAAGGTGAGCGGGGACCAAGCTATTTTAAATATGGTGATGTGTAATGAGGCAGATTTGATAAAGAAGTATAAGTCAGAATAAAGGATAAGCTCAATAAAAGCGACCATAACATGGCAGAATTTAGCATTCATTTGATAGGGAGAAAAGCGGATTGGAAACAACCCTGCTAAAATTAAGAAAGGGCAATTACACAGCAATGAGAAATGAGTTAGTTGGAATAGACTGGAAAAGGAGTTTTGTAGAAACAATGGCAGATGTTTTAGAAAATAGTTTATGACCCTCAGCAAAGCTATATCCCAATGATGAAGAGGATAAACTAATCATGGTTAACGATCGAAGTTAAGGATAGTATCAGACTGAAAGATAAAACAGACAATGTATCAAAGAATAGTGACAAACCAGAGGATTAAGAAAGTTTTAAAAGACAACATTAGAAGATCATTAAAATAATAAAGAGGGAGGAAACAAATTAAGATGCAAACCTGTAAATAATGTAAAAACAGACAATAAGAGCTCTTTAAACATAAAAAAAGGAAACAAAAGGCCACACTGAACATAAGCCTCTTAGAGAATGAAGCTGAGGGAATAATAATGGTGAACCAGGAAATGGCAGAAGTGTTGGAGAAATACTTTGCATCAGTCTTCACAGTAGACAACAATGAAGGCAAGCATGCTAAATGCCTCCTTAACCACCTTATGATATGATATGATAACCACCTGTGATGCAAACTTCAAAAAACTATATACCTGAACCCCTAGGTTTCACTGTTATTTGTCATTTATTAACTTGTTTTTCCTTATTCTTGAGAAGGTATTGGTGACAGTATTCTGGTGTTGGTAGATCTAGTGTTGTTAGGGAGAAAATTACAGGATTTTGATCCAGTGAAGGTGAAGGATAGAGGCATATAGTTCCAAGTCAGGATGGTGTGTACTTTGGAAAGGCAACATCCCTAGTAATGTTGGCATGGATCTGTCTAGCTTGTCTTTTATAGGTGGCAGAGATTGTGAGCTTGAAAGGTGTTGTCAAAGGGGTGCTGCAGTTCCAGTGTATATGGTACACACTAATGTCAGTATGCAGCATGGTGAGGTGCGTGGATATTTAGGTGCTGATGAGATTCTGAAAAAGTGGGCTGATTTGCATTGGAAGATATCAAGAATCTTGAGCATTGATGAAGCTATACTTAACTAGAAAAGTGGAGAGTATTCCATCACATTCTGCTACCTGTAGGTGACAAGCTTCAGTAACTGAGGGGCTGCAATGATACAAAACTCTGTAAAATCATCAGCAAACATTTTCACTTCTGACCTTATGTTGGAAGGAAAGTCAATAATAAAACCAAGATAGTATCCTGAGGAACACCAGCAGTTATATTATGGCAGTGGGAAAAGACACATGTAGTGATAATGGTGGAAATATTTGGTATATTGAATGTAAGCCTTGATTTGATAAGTATGACTATTTAAGGCTTATATTTGAGGACTACTGGGACCGTATTGTCTAATTTTGCCACGCTTCCTCACATACAGTGAGGATGACTTTGCATGCTGACACATTTATTGTACATTTGTCATGTTTAGTGTCCAGGTTAATGCCAGATAGTCATTCAAATTTTCTGTTTCATTACTGATTTATCTTCCTACTATTGTGGAATTGAAGACATGTCTCTGGAACGTTAGTCTGAATGATGATTTATAAATTGTTAGCCCCATCCTTTTGGAAACCATAGAGAGACTTGTCAAAACAACTTTGCTTATCATCCCAGAATAGATTAAATTCCAGAAATAGAATGAACATTATTGTAAATAGCATTTGTTATGAAATTTGTTGATCTTTAAAAAATAAGTCTGGTCACTTACCTTATTCTTCTGCAAATCAAGGCAGCTTAATTTCTGTAACTTTTTTTTACGATGGGAAGTCTTACATTGATATGATTAAAATATTTTAGAATTAGTTATCCTCCAGACCCTTAGGATGGATGTCAGTCAATGGAAGTTGTTAAATTGGATAGCTGTGAATAATTATAAATGGTGTGTCCAATCAAAAGGATCAGATAACATTGCACATTGAACTAGGAACAATTACTTTGATCCCAGTTCACCCACAATATGAAGCAATCCACAATATAGTTCACTATCACTGCCCCCACATTTTATAAATTGTAAATAGTTGAGGTCCTGCACTGATCCCTGTGACATTCCATTGATTTCAACTTTTCAACCTCAGAAGTACCCACTTATGCTTGCTGCCTGCTTCCTGTTAATGGTGATGCTGCAATGTGTTCTGGGTAAAGGAGGCTTTCTGCTTTCACTTCAGAAGTGGGTCTAGTTTAGCTTGGGAAACTTGGTCAGCATGGATGGGTTGAACCAAAAGGTCTGTTTCCATGCTGCATGACTGTATGATTTGTTCTCCCCTTATTGACACACCTATAAATGGCGCCTATATTCAACTGTAAACTTCTCATTTTTAAACCTCTTTCATACGGTGAGGCAAACATTTGCTTACAATTCCTAAATGCCCTTGAACTAAGTGACTTGATTTACTATTGCAAAGGGCAAATAAGAGCCAAACACATTCCTGTGAGTCTGGAGTCGCATTTGGGCCAGACCAGGTAACAATAGTGGATTTGACTCTTTACGTGACATTAGCGAACAAGATATATTTTTTTTGAAACAGCAATTGAAGATAGTTTCATTGTCATCATTACTAACATGATGGGATTTGAACACATGCCCTTGGCAAATTAGCCTGGCCCTCTGAATTACTAGCCCTGTGCCATTTCTGTTAGGACCCCCTCTCTCAAAATCTGCGATTCTACATTCACACCCTTTTAGGACAGAGATGAGCAGAATTATTTTCTCTCAGAGTGTTATGGGACTTTGGAACTCTCTGCCCCAGAAGGAGGCAGTGTCTTCAAATATTCTAAAGACAGAGGTGGATAACTTCTCTTAGGCAAGGGAATCAAGGATAATGGAAATGTGAAATTCAAAACACAAACAGATCAACCATGACCTTATTGAATGGTGGAGTAGGTTTGAGGGGCTGAATGGTCTACTTCTGCTCCTACTTTATTATGTTTGTTATGGGTATACATTTCCAAGTGCACATTTTCAGTCCATCAACTATGTAGAATCATTCTCTTAGCCTTATCAAGTTATGTTTTTTCTAACCAGTTGCCCCTTCCCACTCCACCAAAGCCAAACACATTCCCTACTGTCAAACTCTGCAGGACCAATTTAACTGTACAAAACTGAATAGAGTTTGAGTGAAACCAGGAAGGGTATATTTGAGTTCCTATCAAGTTTCCACATTTGTCTTTTCTTCACTATCCATCAAATCCAGGTCTTGCTCCCCTTAATGTGGCAAATATGTACATGTCAAGCCAAACATTAAAAGGTTAACTCATGAACGTGATACATATTTTGCCTCAATTCAGAATTAATTAATTAATAATTTTTTAATATGAATTTGCTTGTTGTAATTGATATGGCAGTCAGCCTGTTCAGATCTGTTAGCTCACAGCACTAAAAAGCCAGTGAAACTTCAACCTGTGCCTTCTGGTTTAGAGGTAGGAATATTACCACTGCATTACCACAGTCCCTTGCTTGTTGGAATAAAATGATGTGCTAATAATGAAGAAATTACAGCAAGTGTTCCAATGAGATTGTGCTGTCGCCAGTTTGAAAATTGGAGAGAAAATGCGAGACAGAGAGTAAGGTATGTGCCATAACTGGGAATGCATGCTAATCCTTGAAGTCAAAATATTGGCCAGAATTGGCAGCTGAGCACTGGCTCAATCCTCCAATCAGTGATGTCGACAGAATATAGACAGTCATCAAAATACACAAATGGTGTTCATTTAAACAATAAAAACTGAGAAATTACTTAAATAAACCAGTATAATATACAGACATAAATATGACTGGAGTTAGTTGTGGGAATTCTGAATTTTAAAAAAGGTCTTACAAGCATATCTCAGCTGCTTTGTCTTTTAGTGGCAAGAGGTATATTGCCAATTACAAATATATAATGGACCCCTCAATATACATTTGCTTAGATACAAAGGTGGAATTGTCAATACAATCATTTATTTAGAATTAGCATTGTTACAATGAAATAACAATTTGAACAACTTGAATTGTGATTATAACCTGTGCATGGATTCACCATTAGTACAGATAGGATATATTTACAACTAGAACTATTGTTACAGGAGTATATTTAGGTCAGCATTGTTACAATGCAATATATAGTGAAATCTGGGATTGAGGGTGAGGCTTGATTCAGATTCAGGATTGCTACAATGCAGGGGCATTTAGATAGTAGCCAAGGAAGAATTTGCATTAATATGCAGGAGATAATACAAACAGTGAATTCCTGTCATATACAGGGAACATTATGAAACGGAACAGAACGAAATACTTGTCACCGACGATACACAAGGAAAAATTGAATCGATTTATCTCTAAATATTGAAAAACTCACTATAATGCAAGGCACTCTATGACACTCGTCTGCATACTGATATATAAGCATACACTCAAGGCACATCCTTTTAAAAAGATACAGACAGTCCTCAGTAAGAAGACTACTCAACACATCACTGACATTTCTTTATAAAAGAATAGCTCGGATAGCACTGCCTACATATAAAAGTCAGCGCAATGACCGAGTTAGCTGCCAGTTTAGGTATGATAATAGTCACCTACAAATGTTGCAGAATACTTCATACCCTGAATGTCACATTTTAAAATTAAATGAAAATAGTTCATATATTAAAATAATTCCAATTTTCTTGAAAGAAGAGCATTAATGACAGTTCTTCCATTGTGGAATACTATTTCACGCCAGGGTACAACCCTAGCGTTTCATGAGTGTAACTTTCCCTTCCTTGTTGCAAAAGTCCACGGGTCTTTCACCTCTATCCTACCAGGGCCTCCAGAGCGTTGTAACGCTGGTTTTCAGTTCTTGCTTGATGGCCGGTTGACAGACAGGAAGATGCATGGGAGGAAGCGGGTAACACGGGCCCTTAGCCGGCTCCTGAGCCCTGTGCAAATGGTTCACAAGTTTGTCCTGCATGTCTTTCTTGCCCTCCGGGGAGAAGCTGAAATGCTGAATCTCCTGCAGACAGCGCGAATAGCCTTCTTTAAAATTCTGGGCGAGGCTCTTGCTGTAGGTCACTGTAGGTAGAAGCAAACAAACTGGTTTAGAAGGATATTATTGGGGAATGACAACAAGCTATCAACAGAGATAACACAGTGTGGAGCTGGAGGAACGCAGCAGGCCAGGCAGCATCAGAGGAACAGGAAAGCTGACGTTTCGGGGAACTTCAACATTCCTGCTCCTCCGCTGCTGCCTGGCCTGCTGCGTTCCTCCAGCTCCACACTGTGTTATCTCTGACTCCAGCATCTGCTGTTCTTACGATCTCTGAGTAAGCTATCAACAGAGTTTAGTTAGTCAGCAGACAAACACACAGAGATAGATACCTGTGAACATTCTCTGGTTATGAAGTCTCAGGTAATTCACGGTCATCTCCAAGATGTCAGCTTTCTCCATTTTCATGTTGGGTTCCTGATTCTGAAATTCTTCCCTCAATAAAGCCTTGAGTTGCCCAATGCTGCTGTTGATGCGATCTCGGCGCTTTTTTTCTATAATTGGCTTCATCAACTGGGAAAAAAAAGGAGCAAATTAACAACAGCTTTTAATGTAGAACGCAGACGTTAAAAAAATAAAACCAGAATCTTTCCCGTTTTAAAAAGCGCGGAGACTTACTTACCTTGTACTTTTCCTTTCGTGTGATCTTTTCCTCGGAATATTCCTTTGGGATGACACCAGAGGTTTTAGGAGCCATTCTTTCGGAGCAGACTGCACCGCAGTTAGTAGTGAGACTGGGATCGGCTGGAGAGATGCTGTTGAGGGAAGGGGTCTAGCCTCTCTATTTATCCACCCTCCTGTCCATAAGAGAGCGTGTGCCTGTTTCTCTTGGTGTTTCCCACAGTCGGCAGCCAATCGAAAGCGAAGGAGCCACAATAGCAGAAGCTTTTCTTTCTAAATGCTGAATTAAGGCCGTTTTCAACCCTTTGTCTACAAGAGTCTCTGAGGACCATCTGGACGGCAAGTATGACACAGTAAGTCAGAGGAAATTACTCTCATCTGAGGTTATAGGACCCTGGGAAAGATCCTCCTGTCATTGTTATAGAGGGGATTCTGTGACAGAAAGTATGCCTGTTCGTACACCGCTGGTCCATTTTAAAATAATCTCCTCCTCCCCCACCCTTTTTACTTTGAAGAATAAAACCTGTGAGATCACAGATGTTAGCATGTGGAGGACGCTCATTTTGTCCCCTACTGTTAATTGCACGTTTCTAAAATCTAATTGGTGTGAGCTTACTGTCTGTTTTAAGAAGTGACGGTTCACATTAAAAAATAGATTTCAAATTAATACATTTTCCGTTTCCAATTTCTAACATTTCGCTAACATTTCTTTCCAGCCTCCTCTCCTCTTTTTAGTTCCACTGCTAGAATTTTTTGGAAATCAGAATCGTTGTAATATATTTTGCAATAAGTCAGAAAGGCAATCAATTTACAAACTTACAGCCGTTCTCTTTGATCAGGTCCTTCACTTTATTATTAATCCAAATATATTTGCATTTCTCAATTTAACATTAGCGCAGTCAATGCTGATAAGCTGCTTCAAAACCCCTAAGGATTTTAGAACATATAGGTTTTTTAAGTTTCAAACGAGGGACTTATAAATTAACTTCCTCAGGTAAGATTTGTCCCCCATGAGCAAGGAAAGAACGCAAGCAAACACAGTGAATCACAGCAAATCGATATTGCTCTGTTTGCAAATGCATGGAATTTGTTATGTGTTGATGGAGATGAAGAAGGTTATTATTTCCATTTTAGGTACCAACTGTCAGCATCATTGATCAGCTACGCCACTTTTAGTTCAGCAGAATAAAACCTCTTCACGGTGACATAATCTAAACCGCAGGAGAGCGCCCCCTGCTGCAAGATTAGATGCTTGCCGTTTCCCATGAAACTTCACTATAGCTCCTCTAAATGACAAAAAGTTAATAGAGTGGTGCGATAGATGACATATCATACCCAGCTGAATTAAGGCTGGAGAAATATATCAGTTCAAAATATCAAAAGATAAAGGTAGAGATGATCATGTGGTCAGCCATGGAGTGTATTACAAATCAATTACCAAAATATTATGACCAAAGACACATGACCTCCATTGTTGCACCTTAGAAGCAGATTGCTATACATTTAATCTTATGTCATTAACGTTTTTCAAAAATATTTTACTACCGAAATATTTGTTGGAGCTCATACTGAATCAGAGGGATTTAAGTAAAATGAATAGCTGACTGTTATACCTAATAATTGCTTAATGTTTTTATCTGTGTAGCTCTGTGTATGACTGATGAACATATATGTGCTCGTGCTTGTGAGAGACAGGGAAAATAGATGACCTGTTCAGACGTGGGAGTCTATATGTACAACATTCTGTTAGCATTTCAGATCCATTTCACCAACTGTTCAGTGCTTAATGCCCGAATAAATGATGTGAGCCAAGTCTCTGTTGAAAGGCACCAGCTGCACGCGTCCTCTTTGTTTTTTAACACGTGGGAAAGGGGCAGTATCAGAGATCTCAGCGCTGCGGAAAAAAAATCTTGGATCAGATCAATCCACCGTGAGTTCAGCTTGTTCGTCTCACTCAGGAATAGAGGAAACACCTGCACGACCCAGAGTTTATGCGGAAGTTAAAAACTTGGCTTTGTTCACCTGCATCAAAAGTCGAATTCTATGTAAATCACACGCTAGCACTAATCACAATTTCGATACATTTAGGGCTGTTAGATTACAAAAAAATCTGAAAGTTACATGGCTGCATTTTCTCAGGGGAATCACAATATCAGCTCGTTCGGGCGGGGGCTTCATTATTTTGGTACCACGTTTCTTCCTTAAAAATAAATAAAAATTAACCCCTATGAAATGTCATCGGCCCGAAAAGGTTAACTCTCTTTCTTTCTCCAGAGATGCTGCCGGATCTGCGGAGTATTTCCAGCGCTTTCTGTATTTGTTTCAGATTTCCAACGTCCGCAGTCTTTTCACGTGTTTTGTAAATAGAGAGGTTGTTATGATAATCCGACACTGCTGGGAATCAACCAGAAATCGACACTCGGGAGGACAGCTGCTGAACGTAGCAAGGAGGGTGAAGAAAGCACTCGTTTACTAGTGGGGAACGTGTTAAAATGGGAATTAATCAAAAGCTATCCTCCGACTGCTATTTAATCTTTGCAGGTGAATACAGCGAGTTACTCGGGCTCTTGTAGCGCAGTGATAGTGATAGTGATAGTGTCCCTACCTCTGAGCCAGAAGGCCTGGCTTCAATTCCCACCTGTTGCAGAGATATGTAGTAATATTTCTGAACAGGCTGATTAGAAATTCTGATCTCCATTCTTGGGCAGTTACAGACTCGGTTGACTGAAATCTGCCTGGGTCCTGGTACAGGAGCCCAAAACTACAGTTAACATTCCAAATGATTAGCAATATGCCTTTACTGGTAGCTAATGGATCTATGGGAGAGGAACAAAAATAAAGCTCAAGATACGATGAGGAGTTGGTTCCTATTTTAATATGTGTGCTCTAGAAACTGGGATTAGCGTGGCAAGCGCTAGTCCATATTGCTGCTTTTTGAAGAGAATGGAGGAAGCGAAGACGCAAGCGCGGCCAATTAGTCCATTTGCTTTGTGTGGTCAGGTCAGGCTTGTGACCGCTACTAAACTGGTCTTTCTTCTAGACACGTGGGAAACTGCCAGCAACATCTGCATGCATTCTGGAGGCGAAGCGTGCTTCTTAAACCGCGTCAGATAATAGCACCCCACCCCCACCCCCACCCCCCAAAACACCATCCCTGTTTACTGGTACCACACGCTTTAATAAGCATTAGCTAGGACATTCAGAAAGCTGCTGGACACGTAAAATTGCAGCTCAATGGAGACATTGATTTTATTTCAGAGACTAAAGCAATTCAGGTTATGAAGCCTTATGTCCTAGCGATGTACACGCAGGTGGTGTGTGGACTGCGAACTGGCGACAGCCCTTGAAAATTGATTTTTATTTATAAAAGAGCAGTTTTGCGTAATCTTTCCAAATAATCTAAAACAAAGTTCGCTACGGACATAGTACACTCAACTCCACAGAGGTTTCAACCTGACTTCACAGCTGTGCAGGAGTTATAAATAAAGCGCTTATTACAAGTACATTTATATGTCATAGAATTGTACAGCACGGAAACCGACCCTTTGGTCCAAGTCATCCGCGCCGATCAGATATGCTAAATGAATCTATTTGCCAGTATTTGGCTCATATCCCTCAAAACCCTTCCTATTCATGTATCCATCCAGATGACTTTTAAATGTTGTAATTGTATCAGCCTCCATCACTTCCTCTGGTAGCTTATTCCATACACGCGCCGCCCTGTATGAAAAAGTTAGGTTGCCAGTTAGGTCCCTTCTATATCTTCCCACTGTTATCTTCAACTTAAGCTTTCTAGTTTTGGATTCCCCTATCCTGGGAAAAAGACCTTAGCTATTTACCCTATCCATACTGCTCAAGGTTTTATAAATATTTATAACCTCAGCCTCCTACCTGCAGGGAAAATAGCCCCAGGCTCTACAGCCTCTCTCTGTAGCTCAAACCCTTCAACCCAGCAACATCCTTTCTATAGCAGGGAGACCAGAACTGAACTCAGTATTCCAAAAATGGCCTAACTAATCTCCAGTACAGGCACAGCATGACATCCCAATTCCTGTATTCAATCACAGTTAATGCAGATGCAATGTGTAGATTTTTAAAAAATGTTTAATCCACATATGGCTTGAGTGGGAGATGGGAGAATTTGTTAGGTGTGTGCAGAACAGTTTTTCGAAACAATATGTAAATAATCCAATTTAGGAAGGGGTCATACTAGACCTGATATTGGGGAATAGCCCAGCCAGGTGATTGAAATTTCAGTGGGGGAGCATTTCAGGAAGAGTAAACATAATTCAGTAAATTTTAAGTTACTTATGGATAAGGGTAGCCCTCGGTGAGAGTAGCAAATTGGGGGAAGGTCAACTTCCACAATATTAGGCAGGCACCGGGGAATGTAGATTGGGAGTAGCTGTTTGAGGGTAAGTCCACATCTGGAAATCTTTTAGAGGCCAGCTGATTAGAGTTCGGGGCAGCATGTTCCTGTGAAAATGAAGGATAAGGATGGCAAGATTTGGGAGCCGTGGATGACAGGAGAAATTGAGGTCTTCGTCAAAAAGAAAAAAAAGGAGAAATATGTAAGGTTTGGGAAAATGAAGACAGCCAGAGCCCTCAAAGAATACAAAAATAACAGGGAAGAGCTCAAACAAGGAATTAGGACGGCTAAAAGGGGTTGTGAAATGTCTTTGTTAAACACAGTTATGAAAAATCCCAAGGCATTTTATACTTAAATAAGGAGCAAGAGGTTAGCTAGGGAAAGGGTGGGTCCAGTCAAAGACAAATTAGGGAATTTATGCATGGAGCAAGAGGAAGTGGGCGAAGTCCTTAATGAAAACTTTTCATCAGTATTCGCCAAAGAGAAGGGCATTGTGAGTCTTGACAAGGATATGTTGATATTCCAGGATATATCAATACAAAAAAAAAGGAAGAAGTGTTAGGTGTTTTGAAAAGAATTAAGGTTGACAGGTCCCGGGAGCTTATGAGATCTATCCCAGAATGCTGATGGAGGTAGGTGAGGAAATTGTTGGGGCCTTGTATGAAATCGTTGTATCCTTAGTAGTCACAGGAGAGCTCCCAGAGGATTGGAGAATAGCCAATATTGTCCCTTTGTAAGGGC